ATATATGTATGTATGATGGAATACACACACACACACACACACACACACACACACACACACACACATATATATATATATATATATATAATATCTTACTAGAGTGGCTTACAGGCTGTGGACCAGCTCATTTAACAATGGCTGTCTACACACAGAAAGTCCAAGAATCCAGTAATTGTTTAGTCCATGATGCTGGATGTCTCACCTGATCTTCAGTACATACCAGAATTAATTAAGCTTCAAAGATTTGGGCTTCAATGTCAGTAAAGGGATGTGCTTGCCAGAGAAACTGAGGAAAACCAAAGAACTTCCTTCTTTTTTATCCCTTATAGGTACTCCAAGAAGAAGGTGTGGCCCAGATTTAAGGTGAATCTTCCCATCTCAAATGATCTGGATTAAAGTTGCGTCTTCCCACTTCAAGTGATTTAATGAAGAACATCCCTCATAGGTGTAGTTAAATTTGGATGTAGTCAAGTCAGCAACCAAGAATGGCCATCACAGTTCAGTAACTAAAAGGACTTTTTGTGTAGGTAGAGCAGCTTGAGGCAATAAGGACATTCTGACAAAGATCTAATAAAAAAAATTAATACACAGAGTTACAACATGGCTTCCACACAGGAAGAAGGGATTGGATGGCAACTGACATAGCAATAATATTAAATGTCTCCTGTTCTGAAGTTAGTCCACTAGCCAGTTAGTTGTCAATGCACATGCTCCTGTTTTTTTCTCATGACACAGCATGACCATCTGGTCAATTATATTATCCCCTTTCTGTGGAAAACAACTATAGTTCCTGCATAAATTGATCTTGCAGTTTGTCTGAAGTGAATATTTATAATGTCATGAACCAATTTAATTTCATATTTTCTATGAAAATATGGAAACAGTACAATTTTAAACATTGTCCTTGTTTTCACCATGAAATGCTAAATTTATATTTAATAAAATGCTTTATTCTTTTATATTTATCTGAATATATGATCAGATAACATAAATTTGAGGTCTGGACTCTGAGAGGCTGGAGCAAAGTGTGGAAGATTTAACTTGAACAGCACATCCAGAGTTCTCTTAGACAAGGATTTACCAGTAGTTCTGTGCACTCCACCAAGGTAATGGATTACATTTCAGGCGGCATCCTTCTGTAAACGGAAATGTTCCAATTGAGTTACATAAAGTCTTTTCAACTGTAATCATCCATGAGTTACTGAAAATTGAATGAAATTTCCTCTTCCATGTCAAGATCTTCAGCACTAACACAGAATTGAGATATATATTCATTTGCAAGGGTAACAGTAAGCTGATACTGCAGAAGTGATGGTGTTTGCACTGTGAGATGAATGATTCAAAACCCTGATTTCTGATTCAGTATAATTTCAGTTGCTAATTTGGTCAAAACTGCTTAATGCTTTTTTCTCAGAAACTAACCCAGCATTTCCTTGTGCCACAAAGTCTGGAAAATGGAGAAAGTGGCTGCAAACATTTTCTCAAAGCAAAGTGAACAGGCATACAATGCATGGATCAAGAACCTAGCAAAGTGTTATGATGTTCAAGTGGACATAGTCCATTTCTTTACGAGTATGATACATGTTCCTCATGTGTGCTCTATAGGGGGTCTCTGGTACACAAGTCTCCACCTTGATGTTGCCAAGACAGGCAGTCACATAATGAATTTGATTTCCCTAACTAGAAGAATGAATGGTATTGTTTTCTCTGTTCCATACAATCAGACAACTCTTAACTGTGGAAAATTCCTATGTGATTAAGATGACCATGGTATATTACATATATGAAAAAGACACTTGTGACAGAGAAAATGAATAGGTTAAGAATCAAAGCAAATTACTGACACAAAATGAAAAACTAAGGTTATATTCTTCTTTTTTATTAAGAAATTTCATTATTCATTTTACATACCAACCACAGATTCCCCTAGTCCCTTCTCCCACCCTTCTAGCCCCTCCCCCATTCCCTTCTACAAGATGGTACATCCTCCCATGGGGAGTCAGCAGAGCCTAGTACATTTATTAGAGACAGGTCCAAGGCCCTCCCCTTGCATCAAGGCTGTGCGAGGTGTCCCACCACAGGTAGTGGGTTCCAAAAAGCCAGCTCATGCACCAGGGATGGATCCTGATCCTACTGCCAGGGGGCCCCTTAAGCAGATCAAGATGCACAACTGTCTCTCGTATGCAGAGAGCCTAGTATATTCTCCTTTTAAAAAAATGCCTGGAAGCAGAGAATTCATCAGTACCTGTTTCTCCTCTACAAATGTTGATGCAGTATAATCTTGGGCCATGCTTACATAATATTGCAACATAATTGGTACAGATCATAAGAAAACATAGAAATATCTTCATTCGAATTCTACAAATTTCTCTGTAGATGATTCTTTCTGGATAAGTCGTTGTTCAATCTCCATCTCCAAACTAACCTCATGTCCATAGTTACTATATAAAATACACAAATTTACTAATGAAGACAACTCTGGACTCACTCCTTTAGAAGGAGGAAGACGAAGCCCTCCTCACCCCACCCCGTTGGTTCACATCATGAGATCAGAGAGGAATAATTCTTGTACAAGAAATAATCATAGTGAAAGGAAGATGAACAAGATGCTGGGTGGGAAACCAGAAACTCTTCTCTCCTGATCTGTCTCCCATGAATGCACAGAAATGATCCATTGAGGATCTTTTTTTTTTTTCAAATAGGAAGCTTTCCTAATATTGTTGATGAATTCTAATTAGCTTAAAGGTCAGTTGTTATTTAATTGAAACACCTAAAGGTATTTTTTTACACTTTTGAGAATAATTAATTTTTTTTATTTTTTTATTCTTTTTTTTTAAATTTTATTTTACAATACAATTCAGTTCTATATATCAGCCACGGATCCCTTGTTCTCCCCCCTCCCA